TTCTTTTGCATTGAGCCTTTCTCTTTTTCTTTCTTTTCTTTCCTTTTTATTTTACTTTTCATATGCTTAGCTCAATGTTTTTCATATTCCCTTTTTAGACTTCCCAACAACCCCAAACTTGAACATTTATCAATACCATAAGATATTTTCAACTCAACTCAAGGTAAAGCTTTTCAAAAAGGGTTTTCTAACATGTTCAAAGCTAAGGGTTCAAAGGATAGAACACATTGTGCTCTCTTTTATTGGGCTAAAATCATGCATTTGGCTTATAAAAGGTTACCAACAAATGGCCTTGATCATATCATACAAACAAGCAAGTGATTCAATGATAAAAACCTGGGCAAAATCATTCATGCCTTCAATCTAATAACATTCAATCACAAAAATTATGGAGTTCAAAACCTCACATATAGGCTCATTCAACATTCCACATACACATCCTGTTTAACATCATAATCACAATCACAACATCATGCATTTGTTCACATAACTTGTGAACAACCACCTGTATATCAGCATATGGTGTACAATCTCAACATCAATCAATATCCAAGCATCATCAAGCAATACTCATCATGCATAACAAGCAAACCATCATAGCAGATAAAGTTTCAAACTGAGTACATGACACACTATTCTAATAACATAAGCAAATAAGTAAAAGAGTTTAGAACACTGGGATGCCTCCCAGTAAGCGCTTATTTAACGTCACGAGCCTTACCCAATAAGCTCAAGGATCAACCAACTTCATCACTGTGGATAAACGCTCCACTTCTCCTCCCAGATAATGCTTGAGATGTTGACCATTCACTACCCAACTTCTCTGTGGATCACTAGCAACTGGATCAATCAATTCAATTGCTCCATGTGGACGCACACTTTTCACTATGAATGGTCCTAACCATTTTGACTTAAACTTTTAAGAAAAAAGCTTCAATCGTGAATTGAACAATAGCAGCTGCTGCTCTGGATTAAAGACTTTTTTAATCAACTTCCTGTCATATAGAATTTTACCTTTTCTTTGTAATTACTGGATGAATCATATGCATGCAACCACATCTCTTCAAGCTCCAGCATCTGCCTTCTACGCTTGTGCTGAGTTTTAGAAGGATCAAAATTCAAAAATTTAAGAGCCCGCAAAGCTCTATGCTCCATCTCCACTGGCAAATGACATGCTTTCCCATAAACTAGTTGATAAGGTGATAAACCCATTGATGTCTTCATTTCAGTCCTGTATGCCCAGAGAGCATCATCCAATTTTTGTGACCAGTCGTTTCTTGATGCAGCAACTGTTTTCTCCAAGATCCTCTTGATCGCTCTGTTAGACACCTCAGCTTGCCCATTGGTCTGTGGGTGATAAGGTGCAGCTACCTTATGTCTCACACCATAATGTTTGAGTACTTTTGCGAGCTGATAATTACATAAATGAGATCCTCCATCACTAACAAGAAAATTGTACCTCCTGATTGGAATCAATTTTTCTTCTGCTCTTGATTATTTCATTTTCAATTATTCACTGTAATTTTGTTTTCTATATTCTGATTCTGTTCCAATATTCTGCAATTTAATGTTTTCTATTTTTCTATATTTTGTTTTTACTGTTTCTGTATTACTGCAATTTCTGTTTCTAAAATTTTGTATTTTCTGTATTGCTGTTATTATGTACTGTTGTAATTTCATTTTCTGTATTTACTATTTTCTGTATTTACTATTTTCTGTGTTTTCATTTTTTCTATTTTCGTTTTCTGTACTGAAGTTTTCTGTTTCAGATTTGTTTCTATTGATTTATCTTGCTGAAATTTCGTTTTTACTGTAGCATTTTCGTGTTTACTGTTTTAATTTCGTTTTCATGCATTATAATACGTTTTGCTACATCTAATTTCGTTTAATGGAAGTTTAAATCTTTTTTGGTTGGAAACTAGGAAGATTACAATGGTTCCTTGAGATTTCTGCACCATTAATTGGTATTTTACTGTTCTTGCCTTGTATCATGTTTAATCTGATTTGAGCTTGCAATTAGGTACACCCTTAGTTGCCAAATTGTATTTAATCTCCTCTTAGTTGATTCGAGTCATAGATGCTTAATCTGTGGTAGCGTTAAATTGATTGAATGTGTGCACTGCGTTTGCTTAATTCGCTTTTATGAAAACTAAATTGATCTTCGCTTAGTTGATTAATTTGTGTGGGATTAGGGGTGAGAGTAGTGTATAATTGTTGTTAATCTGGGATTGGAAACATGGTAATTGAACTAGTGACCAACTGTTTTTAATCAACGTTTTATTTTCATCTGTGTTATTAATNCTTGTATCATGTTTAATCTGATTTGAGCTTGCAATTAGGTACACCCTTAGTTGCCAAATTGTATTTAATCTCCTCTTAGTTGATTCGAGTCATAGATGCTTAATCTGTGGTAGCGTTAAATTGATTGAATGTGTGCACTGCGTTTGCTTAATTCGCTTTTATGAAAACTAAATTGATCTTCGCTTAGTTGATTAATTTGTGTGGGATTAGGGGTGAGAGTAGTGTATAATTGTTGTTAATCTGGGATTGGAAACATGGTAATTGAACTAGTGACCAACTGTTTTTAATCAACGTTTTATTTTCATCTGTGTTATTAATTTGTAATTCAAAAACATTCACAACGCCCCCCACTACGTGTTCGACCTATTACCTGAACCACATTTGATCCTTGAGAGATGACCTACGAGTCACTTCCTAGTCTATATTGCATTCTTAATTGCACATCAAATTTGTATGGGGTGCGACCCCCTTCAAATTTTGGCGCTGTTGTCGGAGACCAACGGTTCGGTCTTAGGTCTTTTGTTGTGTTATTGTGTGTTGTGTTTTGTCTTGTGTTGTGAGTGTGCTGTGTTGAGTTTTAGGATATTTAATTAGTCTTGTTTAGGTTTACCTCTTTTAGCATTTTTTGTGTGTTTAGGTTTTTATCATTTTGGTATTCTGTGCATTTAGTTGTTGTTTCTGGAAATTTTAAAATCTATAAATAGTGGTTTTCCTCCATGTTATGCTTCTTTATGTTTGGTGTAATCCTTGCTTGTAGTGGAAGTCCGGGTCTGAGACAAGTTTTGCACTAGAATAGAGGAGATGACAGATTCTCAAAATTGGACATATAAGCTGATCAAGAGGCACCTCAAGGAGTTTTGTTGGGTGTGCTCATCCATGAGGCCTGCTGGTGTTTCAGAGGAGGTAGTGTTGATGAGAGTGTTTCCAATGTCCCTTCAAGGTACAACAAGAGACTGGTTCCTATACCAGTATCCTTTTGATAGTTGATAGGAAACACAACAGATATTCCTCAACAAGTTCTTTCCAACAGCAAAGGTAGTCAGCATTAGGAGGGAGATCATTGCCATTGAGCAGTTTTAAGAAGAAAGCCTGGCAGATTATTGGGACAGGTTTAACAGGCTCTGCATAGCTTGTCCAAAGCACCAAATTTACGAGCATTTGCTCTTGATTTACTTCTATGAAGGGCTCCTGGGCAATAAAAGGATATTTGTGGATGCAGCTGTTGGTGGATCTTTGCTAGACAGAACTCCAACAAAGGCAAAGAAGCTGCTCTGCAAGCTAGCTTATGAAAATCCAATAGAGGGAGAAAAGGAAGAACCTGAGCAGGTTTACTCTAAACTTGAAATCCCTATTCATGTATCTGAGGTTCAAGTAAATTTTAATGCTTTTGAATTGGTAAAACTTGAACCCATAAAGCTTGTTCTGGATTCTGATATTGATATTCCTGTGCACACTCATGTTTTGGATTCATTATTCCCTATAGAGCACATTGACATACCTGATGTTCACTATCCTTGCACTGATCTTGTTTTATATGATAGCCTTGAGGATGCAGTTGATGACTTGGAGATTGGTAATAAAATTTTCAATGAGTAAAAACAGGTTTATTCTAAACCTGAGATTCCAATCACTTTACCTGATTTGCCTATACATTTAAATGCATGTGATTTGCTGCACACTAATTCTATAGGGTTTATGACTGAAACTGATACAAATTTGATTGACCATTCTAAAATTTTTGATTCAATATCAACCATTGAACCCATTGGTATAAATGTTGTTTTGAATGTACATGATTTCCGTGATGAAATTTTGAATGATAATAGCCTTGAACTGACCTTTGATTCTTTTGATTATGCATATTTCAATATTGATTTTGAGGTAGAAACTGTGCAATCTGATAACTTTATAGAGTTCAGGCTGAACTTTGATCTAACACAGTTTTCTGAGAATTTTGAATGTGATTGTGAATGTGGTTCTTGCTCCATTTGTACTGAGATAAATTTTGTGATGCAAATAGATTCCAAAGTCCAGACAGATGCTACTAACTATGAACTTGATCTTTGTGCAGAATTAAAGAAAGCAAGGAATGCTGAAAACATTAAGGCAACTATTTAGGAGGAAAGAAGTGCAGAAATCTTGGAGAGGTCTCTATTCCAGTGTCACACACTCCACAACTGCCAGTGGAAGGAGAGCTACTAATGTAACAATTTTGCTTGGAGAAGAAAGAAGAAACATCTTGCTTTGGATGATAGGGCAGTACTGATGAAGCAGTTCCTCCTCAAAACTTCCTTGTTGGATCCAATGGTGGAGAACATTTCCCTGATAATCCAAAATTGGCAACTTCCACCTTGACTCAGGGGAGTTTTCTTTTTCCCTTCTCCTCCTTTCCACACTTTTATTGCACTTGTCCATGATCTGTTGACTTGTTCTGATTTCTGATCTTATGCTTATGACACATTGAGGACAATGTGTAGTTTAAGTGTGGTCTAATTGGGGACATTTTGATTTTCCTTTATTACTTTTTGTTTTCTTTGATTAAATTTTTTTCTTTTCTAGGTTGTTTTTGTAGTGTCTTGTGTACAGTTTTGCATGATTCTCTTCATTTATGGATTTTGTTTAAGTTGTAGACTCGTCTTTCGCTTCACTTGATTGATACTTATGGTTTGAAATTCTTGCTTTTCTTTGCTTGGAAAGATGATTATGATGTTTAAGAGGGTGATTTGATTGTGACAGTAATACACTGTGTGAGGTTTGAGCTACTTTATGTTCTTTCTTGTGTGATATATTGATAACAGTTGAAAAACTGTTATTTTCATGCTTAAAATTGATACTAAAAGCAACCTTTAATACTTAGAAACTAGTTTGGAATCATGCTTTTGTTCATATTTTTAGAAATAAGAGAGCTGGACAGGTTTATGCTTCATTTCAGTGTTTTATGCAGGTTTTAAGGTGAATATGGTGAAAGAACTGAAGAAGGATAGAGATGGAATCAGAAAAGAACTCAAAAAGTGCAAAAGGAGAAGTCACAACTACCGCTGAGCGGCAGTTTACCGCTGAGCGGCACTCTTGAAACCCCGTTGGCTCCGTTGAGGGGTGAAAAGGCCGCTTAGGGAAAGAATCAACTCACGCACTTACCGCTGAGCGGCACTATTTTGGGCTTGGGCCTAATTTTCTGTATATTTTAGAATAGTATATAAGCTTTAGGACGTCCTAGGGTTTGTATCTCTGGCTGAGACAAAGCAAACACTCACTTTTCCCACCCCTAGGAGGAAGATCTTGGATGCTGAGGCTACCTGCTCATCCTTCTAGGGTTCTATCTTTCATTCTTTCATTATTGTTCATCTAGTTTCACCATGAATATGGTGAACTAAACCTTGTATTGTTGTTGGGGAATCAATGTAATCTTGTGAAACTCTTATATATGAAATTTGCGTTTAAACATCTTATTTGAGATATATGCTTTCTTTCATCATTAGTTAGGGTTTTTCCTCTTTGCTCAAATCATGCATTGTTTAACTCATTCTATGCCATGATTATTGATTTTGTCGATATGGGAACGTACGGTGAAATCTAGATCCGGGGAAAATCTCCTAATAGCATATTGGTTGCCTTTAAGCTTCTGTGCTTCAGAATTAATTATTAGGGATGCTAGGAATTGTATGGACTCGTAATTAAGGATGGGCCTTCTTGCAAGGTGATTTAGAGAGTGGCATTAGCATTGATGAAAAAGAATGATGAATTCCTAAAAGTATATGAGAGTGGATAAGATGAAATTGATAACCCCAACAACATACTCATCCATCTAATTTATTAAAGTGTTTGTATTCCTCTTTTCCATTGATCAAATTCATGCATACATGTTTAATTATTGTCTTTTGCATTTAAAACCTATAATCAATTGTTCACAAGTCTTAAATAATCAACAAATCATATAACTAACTAGGCCGTGAGTCCTTTCGGAGAACGATACTTGGTCTTACCGAGTTTTATTACTTGATACGATTCGGTCACACTTGCCGAGGATTAAACAAGTTTTTTGCACCGTTTTTTGGTGTTCATAAATTTGTCATCATATATCTCTTCATTGCTTGCACATATGTCTTGTCTTTATTCTTTTTAATGATTGTTGATTGATATGCATGTTTGGAAGTGATAAAGGCAAATTTTTTTTCTTGAGCCTCTCTAGCCAAATAAGCCTACCCTATTTTGATCCTTTGATAACCCTTTGTTCTTTGTTTTCAGGATCATTAATTAACTTTATGTGAAAAACCATGATTACCTTTACCTTAGGGAATTTTGGAGCTTTTGAATTGTTTTGGGAACAAGTGTGGTCTTCTTGGGTATTTTGATGAATTGGCTAGTTGGTTCCTCTTCTTGTTTTGTTTTTGTAAATATGCATACATCTTGTCTCTTACAGTTGTGTTCTAAAAAAAGAGAGAGAAAAGAAAAGAGACAAGACAAGAAAAGAACGACAAATACAAAAAAATAAAAAATAATTTTTTTTTTGTTGAATAGTGGAGTTAAGAAGAGGATTGAATTAGAGGTTTTGGGCTAAATTGATTGTGATTTCACTTGTTCCACATTGCTCTTCTATTTCTTTTAGTTTGTAGCTTCTTATCCATATGTTATCCTCCATTGTCCTTGGCTCTATTACAGCCATAAAAGATCTTTTGATTTGAACATGCATATGCTTTGAGTGTTGATATAAGAGGTTTTCCAAGTCTGTTTGTTGCTTGCCTTCTTGAGTACATTGAAATGACATTGTTTACCCTAGACACTTGAGAGATAAAGTGATAATGCATTTGTGAGGTTTTGTTGTTTTTGATTCACCTCTTGAGCTGATTGATTAATTTACCATGTCTTGAATTACTTGGATGATTTCCATGAGTATCTGCTTCCTTTGATTATTTGTCTGATGGATGTTGTCTACTCATTTTCTCTTTCCAGGATTCATTGAGGATTGTGTAAACCTGTTTGATTTCTTGTGTGTCTTTTTGTTTCGGTGTGCGGATGTTGTCACTCTCTTGTGTCTTTTGAATTGTTCCTTGTTCTGCGTCTTGATTTTGTCCAGGAGTGCAAAAGACTAAGTGTGGTCTATTTTGATGAATCATTATTTTCTACTATTCACTTAGCTTTTCGCACCGAATTATATGAGTGAATTGTGTTTAATTCTGAATTATTGTCTCATTTTCACAATTTGTGTTTAATTTGACTAATAATTCTTATTTTAATTAATTTGAATTATTTGAGCTTAATTATTCCTATTATTATTTTCAGGGTAATTTTGAAATTTTATTTTGGGACTTAAAGAAAGATGTCACATCATTTATATTGTAATTTTTGTTATTTTATTTCATTGTAATTTGCATTTGAATTCCATTTCAATGTAATTTGGGACAAATTAGAAATTAGGCAAAAATTGGAAGGGCAAAGTTGGAATATGGTTTTATAAGAACCAAAAATTAGATTGGGAAAGGCATCCTCTTCCTTTCACTTGCTCGACGTTGCTGAAATATAGAAAGGGGGCAACTTTCTTCTTCTCCCCAATTTTTGGGGACGTTCCAAGGGCTTTGTGGTTGGATGTTTAGGTTCTAATTTTGTTTTCCTCTTCTTTGTTGT